CCCAACCAACCGCAACTGCGGGCGTGCTTCTCCAACTCCTGGCACACCAGCTGCCTGTCTCGGAGCGTGCGCGGGCATACCTTGCGCTTCTCAGGCTCAGCTGCGGGCTTCGGGCGCGCGCGGGCCAGTGCGCGCGCCCTGATCTGTTCCTCCTGCAACGCCTCTGTCATGGACGCAGCCATGGCCAACAGCGTCCCGTCGTGCAGGAGTCCGCCCTGTAGACTCTCTATCATGCTTCGCCTGAGTCTCGGCCTTGTCCACCTGAGGCGCCAGGTCACTAGTATCTTCATCTGAACCATCTGGGGACCACCTCCCGCCTTGGGCGGGGTGGTCTGCTTCCGTTAACGAGGGCAATTCTCGGCTCAAGGAGACTCCTCTGTTGGCATAATCGAAATCTTCCTCCACGGAGTTTATTTCATGCTCTCTATCAATTGGATCATCACTATCCTGGCCAAATTGTCCGTTCAATGCTATTGGGATGGGAACATTTCCGCTCGTGCCTCCCCATCCGCCTGGGACGCTGGGGCACGCGCCTGTGGACTCGCGGGCTTCCCCCGATCGACTGGCTTCACCAGCGGCCGGTGCGGATGTATGTGCAGAAATCGGAATGGGACTGATTGACTCCGTCGATTTGGCGATCAAAGACGAGAATGCTCCTCGTCTAAATCTCGCTGTTGTGCCGTTCCGTCCGCGCGGGTCTGGGGTTCGTTCACGAGTGCCGATCGGAGCTCCAGAGGGAGAGCCATCTTCCGACATCTCAACAACCTTTTCAGTGCTTCTACCCCTAGAGACCCGAGTGGCGGTACTAGAAGATGGAAGGCGGCCCTGACCAGGGCCGCTCTCCTGTGGATCATGTCCGTCATGTTGTACAACATGCTGCTCTGCGTTTCGCGAAGTGACGGACATTTCATCTGTCTTATCATAGCTCATACCCGCAGCGACTCAGTCGCGGGGTTCATCAGAAGGCCATGCTTCTGGCTGATATGAGCCCGCTTCGACTATGGCGCGGCTTTCGGCTGAAAACCTATCTTTCCTCTGAGAACCGGGGTAAGATGACAAAAGAATTGAGATCCCATGTTCACTCTGCTCAGCGAGAGAGGGCACGGGATGAGACATCGATAAGACAAATAACCGGTAAGCAAATTTACTCTACCAAGAATGGTAAGTGAGGTGGCCGGCCGGCCGACGACGCGACGACGACGCGGGGGCGACCCCGCGGCGCGCGCGCGAGCGAACCAACTCGCACCTTTTATCCCCTGTAAGCAAACATACAGCTGCGGATAATCACCGCAATCGTAGTCAGACAGCGCGCAGCAATGCAAGTGATACAACAAGCAAGATTAATATGAGGCGGGGAAGGGCCTTATTTACTAACATCGACTGACCCGATATCAAGGAATCCGCTCTTTGCAGAAGCGCTCAAACCTCCGATGGCAACTGCGACATTTGGCAGGCCATGCTCGGCTACCAAACGTCCCCAGACTTCAACGCATTAATCCTGCAATGGCTCCTTCCATTTACCTCTGCCAGTGAAATCAGCTATCGCGGTTTGCATCGACCAGGGGCGCGCGCGCGCGTTGAACTTCAGGTTGGGCCCTGAGTCCGCGATGAATGTCTCCAATGTCAGAGATCTTGATTGCCCCTCTGATTTTCTCGTCGCGTTCGCACGGGCCCCCGCGCGTGCCGCGGGCAGTGCGTCGCCTTGTCGCCGAGAAATATTTCCCCATCCTGGGCGCCCAGCGCATCTGGTATTTCTGCAGGGAACACGATGTATACTTCTTGCACGACCAAGTCCATTCTGCGTTCCCTGGCTCTGTTCATTACACGAAAGGGTCCCGTGCTCAAGTGGAGCAGGAGTAATCTCCTTCTCCAGAGATCAACAAAGATCTCGGCAATCCCACCGTTCAACTACCGTAGTCTTGCCCCTCCTCGAAGCGTTGCATGACATGAACCTCGTCTTGATATTCTCAGAGAATCGAAAATATGGCTCGTATCGGAATGGGGGCGTCCTATCCGCTTGCTCGGCCGTCCAAGCAGGAAGGGAACGCGTTGTCTTGGCGAGGCAAAGCATGCCTGCCTTCGACTTCCAGATCCTCTTACCACGATTGAACCACTGCCATTTGTGTTGGGCAAATGGACCGTCAGTATGTTTACAGAGAATGACCTGGTCAATTTCAGCCCACGTAAGGATATCTTTAGAAATCACCGACCCATCGGGGGTCCCCCTGAACTTGTTGCCGTGCTGAACAATTTTCATCGAATAGCACAATGCCACCCCATTTCTTCAGGTGGTCCGGGCGCACAATCCCAAACATCCCTGCCATGGGGGCGCCGATGATCCCTTCTTGATGTTCATCTGCACTGTCCAGACGATCTTGCATCGAGTGCACCTGCTCTGGCCCCGTAGGCTGCCCCGTTTGGTTGATCCAGTTGGGGAAAGACATAGCTATGTCAGGAGCCACGTCGTGAATGCTGGCGGGAAGAATCCTCAATACACTGTAATCACGGAAAGCGAACAGCCCTGTCTTTCTCGGGTATTCTATGGTATTATGACGCCACCTGATTGTGAGCGTATGATGGTCACTCTTGCGATAATATGTATCAGCAGGCCGTGCTTTTAAGACAAGGTGATATCGTCATACGGCACGTAGATCCGCTCTATATCTACAATGCGAACCGAATGCCCTTGAATGGCTCGAATCAAAATAGGAATGGGTAGCTGCCACAAGTGATCCTTCACATCCTGTTCAAGTGGATGTTCGACAATTTGTCCTCAGTCGAAGAGCTCCACTAAGTATATGTTTTGCCGATCGAACCATAATCATAGTTCATAGTCCTTGTTCTGAACTGAAGGGGCCCCAGGACACACAAATAAGTACACACAAATAAACATCCCAATATTTTTCCATGTGTTCTGGGTTTTTGTCTTCCCCCCAACCCCCATATTTTTCCCATATTTTCTGGGTAACCGGCGACTAATTGTGTCTGTGTATGTTTTCCCTCCTGATGAATACATTCGATTTCAATGGCGCCTGGCGAAAATATGGACAATCCTTACGCCTCACCCGTCCTGGCCGGGCCGACCCCGGGCCAAAGATTGAACAGGGAGCGACCGTCCCGGCATTCCTACAGTCCTACCACGACATGTTCGTAGAACCCAATAACTATTGTTCCAAGATCCAAAACAATGTTCTTAGAACATAGACCCGATGTGTTGAAACATAACAGTCCCAGCCAGAAATGTTCGAACATTTCGTGGGAACCACGACCAGTTCTTAGAACATTGTCTGGTAGGGCTATAGGCACGCCAGGACGCTTCGCCACTGCTTGAAGGGATCGCTGCACAGCGCCTCCCTGGCTAAGCGAGGGCTCCGCGGTGTACGGATCACAGGCGCAGCGGGGGGCCTGGCCTCGCCATCGCCCGGACGTCCATTCCCTGTGTTTTTTGTCGGTTTCGTGCGTGGTTTTTTCGCCAAATGATCGAGGATGCTCCTCGATGGTCCTCGCCGAAAGGAAAAATGCACACGTCCGAGCGATGCCGAGTGTGTTAACGCCAACGTGTGCTTGTCCACGGAAGCCCTTCGACACGACGCAAGCGCTCTAAGGAGGGCGAAAACAGGCTGCGTGTTACACACACACACACACACACGAATCCTCGCTGCCCCCCCGTATATCGCCCCTCGATTACGCGGCGCCCAGAGACCAGTCACCGAGCGAACATCAGGTGGAAGAACTCCAACGAGAAGATGGATGAGGCAGCGGGCACGTGACAGGCCAGAAGGGTACCGCTCGCGAGACAGCGTGAACCTGGCCATGAACAACCCCGCCTGATAAGCGCGGCACGAGGAAACCTTGGAGCGCATCAGCCCGAGCGCAGAGCTGAGAAGCTCGAGATAAACGCTGGATGTCCCTCCCCCCTCCTTCCTCCTCCGACCCTCCTCCCTCCTCCCTCCTCCTCCTCCTGCCCCTTCCTCCCCCACCCCCCTTCCCTCCTCCTCCCACCCTTCCCTCATCCTCTCTCCTTCATGCTATTCTGAGTTTCGTTGAAGAAGACGGGCGTGCAGTTGAGGAGCACGGATCATCCCCGCACCAGCGTGGAGCGAGCCTCCCACCCTGCAGAGAAGGGGGGTCGGAGGGATGAAGGAGCATACAGCTGGTACTATCGCACGGGGAGGGGTGCAGAGGGGAGAAGCGGGACTACAGTGCGGGCGCGGCCACAAGAAACCCTCGCAAGAAACCCCACCCTGAAAACCCTCGCGCGAGGTGCGCCTCAGAGAAAACCCGGAGCACCTTGAACGCAGCAGCTTCCTCAACGGCTGCGGGAAGTCACCGCGTAACGCGCGGAGCGGAGAAACCCAGGGTACCCTGACGAAAAGCATGGGGCTTCTTGAAGCGCGCCCCCACTGTAGAGGAACAAGTACAGTCAAAACGTATAGTAAGGACGCGTGGTAAGGACGCAAGACCCTTGGAGGCTGAAGTTGGGATTTTTTGGGGGCGGCGGCGACCAGTGAAAACGGCAGAGGACGGGCCACAGAGGCAAGGACGCAAGGGTATCCTGATGAAGGCGCGCGTCCTTACTAGGCGCGTTGACTGGATTGCAGGACAACTCGACTTTTGGAAGGGGGCCCAACGCAGATCCAGGAACTCCGCGTGGAGCCCAGCACGTCTGTGCTCGTGCAATGTGTTTTCTTCTTCGAGGGACGGAGGGTGGGCGGCGTCGGAGGCGTAACAAAAAGCAAGGAGAAAGGGAGGGAGGGAGGGAGGGAGAGAGAGGGAGGGAGAGAGGGAGGGAGAGAGAGGGAGGGAGAGAGGGAGGGAGAGAGGGAAGAGGGAGAGAGGGAGGGAGAGAGGGAGGGAGAGAGGAAGAGAGGGAGGGAAAGAGGGAGGGACAGGGAAGGAGGGAGAGGGAGGGAGAGAGGGAGGGAGAGGGGGAGGGAAGAGGGAAAGAGAGATAGGGAGGGAAGCCAAGACAGCACGGACACCCTCCGCTTGCAGCAAGCCTCCTGCACGTCCTCCGTCTCCAGGGTGGCGCGTATGCGGGCCTGCCGTGGAGAGAGGACGCGTGCACCGTGGAATGCCAGCCTGTGGAGAGGCCCGCCCCGAGATGCTCGCGAAACTGTTGCCCCCAAGGAGCAGATCCCGAAACCTGTCCCTCCAGCCCTGTTTTGCTACCAGACGACTGGAAAAACGGATCGGGCAGGGACGATGTCGAAAAAGTGTTTCTCGCCTAGGTCGCTGGCTGTGGCCTGCCGGACTCGACGGCGACGACGACAACGAACAGGGAAGATCCTGCGAGTTGGAGAAAAAAACCTGCGAGATGGACTAAACATTCCGACGTCGACGACGACGAACCAAAGGGGCGCCGCGACCCCCCTACGGGCAAGTCCTGCGGGCTGGAAGAACCTTACAAGCTGGAAAAGATGCAGTCGGACCTAGGCCAGAAGAACATACCTAAAAACATGGGGCCATCCGTCGGCCAAACACAGAGAACGACCAAGGGTACCCTCCCAGGGATGCACAATCGTATTCGACAATCACGAAGAACACTAGAGTACCCTCACGAACCGACTGTACGCTGGCAAATTGGGAGATGTAACATGGCAAAGTCGCCCGCTGCAACATACCCCTCCACACTTCACAGTGGCACTCTTGGACTCTCCTGGGGCGACCGCTCTGGCACACACGACGCATCAGGCATTTAGAGCATCCTCGATGACGGGACAAACCCCCAAATGGAGGCCCCTCCCAGAACCACGCCCTGGGCGTTGACAAAATGCTGGATAATCTGGGGTGTACCAATCCCAACAGTCACAGAAACAGCATTGTCTGCAACAGCAAGCGCTGCCGACTGAAGACTGCTGGTGACAGCGACTCTCACTCAAAGGCTGGGACGACCAGCAACAAATTGCAATGTGCTTCAGACCGCACGACGAAGGAACGGGAGGGGACAGGAAGGGATGAACGCAGCAGTCGACGAGAGAGAAGAGGGAGAGAGAGAGAGAGAAGAAATATAACGACGGGAGACAGAAAGGGAGACGAGAAAACTGGCGCGCCTTGAAGTAATACTCCGCCGAGTAGGCCACGCCGCAGCTGAACAGCCACAGAGCCCACACCCAGCACACGAACAGCTCCGTGTGCCTGCCGCCGGACCCTCCGCATGCATGCCGCCACAGCGCACGGCCCCTGCACACGCGGCATCGTCGCGCTGTGGATGCTCAGCCGAGGCGATGAGCGATACTCTGAACGGCTCCGCGACTGTTCTGCTTCGCCCTCTGCTCGCCAAGACAGGGCGGGGTCCTGAAAGAACCGGGCCCTCGACCCTGGGGCTTCCCCGGGAGCCCGCTGTTTTTTTCCGAACCGCTCTGTGGTGTTGGATCCTCTTCTTGAGAAGACAGCGCCCCGCGTCTCCTCCGTCTCCTCCTCTTCCTCCTCCGCGCTCCTCCTCCCCCCTCCCTCCTCTCACCCCTGTTTCTGCCTTCCGCATGCCATCACCAGTCATCACCATCATCATTGTCATCATCATCACCGTCATCATCACACCCATGTTGGCACACTCCTCACACATTTCGTGGCCCGATAGAGAGCTCCACTTAAGGCCACAGTGGCTGCGGCCGCATGCGTCCACAACGCTCGTTTCGGCACACCCCTCACACGCTTCGTGGCCCCATAGGGAGCTCCACCGAAGGCCCCAGTGACTGCGGCCGCATGCGTCCACCACACTCATTTCCGCACACCCTTCACACGTCTCGTGGCCTTATACAAAGCTCCACCTAAGGCCCAAATAGCTGCGCCCGCATGCGGCCGCCACACTCATTTCGGCACACCCCTCGCACGTTCTGTGGCCCATTAGAAAACTCCACCTCAGGCCCCGGTGGCTGCTGCCGCATGCGTCCGCCACACTGATTTCGGCACACCCCTCACGTGTCGTAGCCCCATCGGGAACTCAACCTAAGGCCAAAGTGGCTGTCCACATGCGTCCGCCACACTCATGCCTCATGCCGGCACACCCTTCACACGCTTCGTGGCCCCATAGGGAGCTCCACCTAAGGCCACAATGGCCGTGTCCACATGCGTCCGCCACACGCACCCCTCACAAGCTTCGTGGCCCCATAGGGAGCTCCACCGAAGGCCCCAGTGGCCGCAGCCGCATGCGTCGGCCACGTTCATGTTGGCACACCCCTCACCTGTTTCGTGAACCCATAGGGAGCTCGACATCAGGCCTCAGTGGCTGCGGCCGCATGCGCACCCCCGCCCAGTACAACGCTTCGTGGTCCCGTAAGGAGCGAAGCCAGGGACCCCAGTGTCCGCGGCTGCATACGTCTCCCCCGCCCATTACAGGACACCCCTCACGCGCTTCGTGGCCCCGTAGGGAGCTCCACCGACCTCGGTACCCACAACGCGGCACTCATAATTCCACATTGGTGGATCCTTCGCCGGGACAATTCCCACATCCTACGTGGGGTTCTTGTCTTCTCTGGGCACCCCCCGCACAGGAACAGGAACACCCGCATCACCATCTCCTCCTCTTATCCTTCCACACTCATCACCAGCACCGTCACCATCGCTAAACCCGCACCATCAGGACCATCATCACTAACCCACCATGATATTCTACCATCACCATCAGCATCGTCACCACCATCACCACCATCACCACCACCATCACCATCACCGTCACCATCACCACACCACCACCATCACCATCATCAGCATCGTCATCATCACCATCAGCGTCAGCATCATCATATTCATCCTCATCATCATCAACATAATCATCAGCATCATCGCTGTCATCGTCGCCATCGCCGTCGCCATCGCCATCATCATCACCATCACCATCATCATCATCAGTAGTATCATCATCATCATCATCATCATCATCATCATCATCATCATCATCATCATCATCATCATCATCATCATCATCGTCATTATTATTACCAGCACCAGCATCAGCAGCCGCAACATCATCATCAGCATCATCATCAACAACATCTGCGTCGCAGACTCTCACACACTAACGCATTCATCTTGAAGAAGTCTCGAGCGGGAGCCTCGTCTACGTGATTCGCGAGGAAGTCTCGAGCGGGAGCCCCCTCCCTAAAGGGCCCGCACTTCATGTTACTAATCCGAGGCGGCCATCGGCAAGCGAATAAAAACAGAGGGCTGATAACACCTGGGAACCTGCAGTTTGAGGAAGTCTCGAGCGGTAGCACCCTCCCTTTGTGGCCCGCACTTCATGTTAGTAATCCGTGGCGGCCATCGGAAGAACTCTAAAGCGCAGGGTTTCCTACACCAAAGGGGCCCAGGGACACACAACCAAATACACACAAATAATCGGTTTCCCCATAATTCCCAATATGTTCTGGGTTCGTGTCTTCCCCCACACTTCCTATAGTTTCCCACATTTTCCTGGGAATCGACGATGCGTTGTATCTGTGTGTTGTTTTCCCTCCTGATGCACACGACAGCCCGATCCTCGAGGAGTCTCGAGCGGGAGCCCCCCTCCGACTCAGGCGAGAGAGTCGTCTACGAGTGCATCGTGAAGAAGCCTCGAGCGGGAACCCCCTCCCCAAGGAGCCCGTACTGACTCCATGCCACTAATCCGAGGCGGTCATCGCCAAGTCTGCAGCTCTCCGCCCGACAGTTGAGAAGCCTCGAGCGGGAGCCTCGTCTGTGAATGAATCGTGCGCAAATCCTGAGCGGGACCACCCTCCCTGTGGGTCCCGCGCTTCGTGTTAGTAATCCGAGGCAGCCATCGGCAAGCCTGTAAGTGTTGTCACGTCGGGGCTCTTGAGGCCTGAAGCTTGAGGAAGCCTCGAGCGGGGGCCTCGTCAGTGAGTGAATCGTGAAGAAGTCTCGAGCGGGAGCCCCCTCCCTATGGGGCCCACACTTCATGTGCCTAATCCCAGGCGGCCATTGGCAAACCTGTACCTGCCATCACGTATGAACTCTTGAGTTCTGAGGCTTGAGGAAACCTCAAGCAGGAGCTCCGTCTGTGAGTGGATCGTGGGGAAGTCTCGAGCGGGAACCCCCTCCCTATGGGGCTGGCACCTCATGTGACTAATCCGAGGCGGCCATTCGATCCTTGCATCTGCTGTTGCTCTTGGGTTCTTGAAGCGTGAATCCCGCCAGCTCTCCAGGGCGTGAGTGGTTTAGGGAGTGTCATCTTCCACCCCCACTTCTTTGAAGGGGCCCTGGGACACACAAATAAATGCACACACATATAAAAGGACTCCCCATAGTTTCCCATAGTTTCTGGGTTTTTGTCTCCCCCCCCCCCACTTCCCATATTTTCCCATATTTTCATGGGAGTGGACGATTCATTGTGTCTGTGTTTTTTCCCCTCCTGATTCTTCCCCTTCAGAGAGCGAGTGGGCAGGGGGACCAGGCCCAGCGAGCTGGTACCAATCCCGGCCGCCAGGAGCCCATCCCGGCTGCATGTGGTTTAGACTGCGACCAGTTCTGGCTGCCCTTACACCTAAGATATACAGCAAATACATCTTGCAGCCACTACAGAACTACATGAATGTGCTTAAGGACACCCGCTCGCACTTTCCGTCTTCCATCGCCGGGAATGGTCCCTGTTTTCGGCGATTCCTGAGGAATCCTATGTGATTTGTATACGAACCCTATGTGAATCGTATTCGGCTCCTGTGCGGATTGCATATGATTCCACTGTATGCAGTTCCTATGTGAATTGCACACGTTTCCTATGTGAATCGTGTACGGTTCGACTGAATACGACTCCTCTGTGAATCGTACACGACCGTATGTGAATCGTATACGGCTCCTCTATGAATCGAATACGATTCAAGTGTGAGTCGTATACAGTTCCTAGAGGCATCGTATACGACTCCTATGTAACCCGTAAACGATTCCCGACGCCTTCGTGAATCGTTTACGTGAGTTGTATACGTGCACGTTTCGTACAAGACTCCTATGTGAGTCGTATACGAAACATGCACCTCCGACGACACATTACCATGATTGCAACTACTGCCACGGTTCAGTAAGCTGCTATATAGGCACGCTCCTCGAAAGCGGCAGGGATGGCCGCTTCCTCTTGATTCGGCTCGTCCTAACAAGAGTCGCCACATATACTACTGCTACGCATGGTCCTGGTCGAGGAAAGGACTACGTCAACATTCGTGCTCGGCCTGATCATGCGTTGCCACGATGATAACTTCGTCCTCCTGATCTTTCTTCCCGCCTACCCCCCATTCTTCCTCACCGAAGACCGAAGCACTCCTGAAGCTTCGCGACGTAATATGACAGCGGGAAGAACAACCATAACTATTCCAGCGCACTCCAGAGCACTCTCAGAGCGCTCCGGCTCCGTAACGAATGCTGCCCCTCGTAGTTGGACGCCCGGAATGGGTACGGGAAAAATGGATACAATGCCCAACAACAAATTGTCCCAAACCAACAGCGGCCGCTGTTGGGCAGGCGGCCTTCTGTCTCGAAGTGACACAGGCCGCGGCGACACCGACAGCGAATCCTGCTCGAAATGAAAAGGAACCGCTGTTGGGCATATTGTACCCATTCTTTCCGTGCCCACTTCGCTCGTGCCGATCGTAGGCCTGCCCGTGGCGACGGCCAGGACGCCCCCTCTGTGTGAGACCCACCCACGTGCTGAGCAGCGCATTCTGCGCACTCGAGGAACTAGAGCTGACTTTCCGCTTTCAGTCTCGGCCGCACTCAGACTCGTGTTCCTGATGAGCCCGCCGCCGCTGCCCTCCCTCCCTCCCTTCTCCTCCTTCGCCTCCTCCTCCCCTCCTCCTCCTCCTCCTCTCCCCCCGGCAGCTCCTCTCGATCAGGAGGTCCTGCTGAAACGCCGACGTGCTGCGCACGAACGACCTCCCCGCCCGCTCGGCCGCCGCGCGGGAGCGGGCCCCGGCAGGGGCTGGCGAGGGGCGAGGGAGCGCTCGGAAGCGGCGCATCCGAGGAGATGCACGCGGGGAACGGAGGGGGAGAGGCTCGTCCTCCTCCTCCTCCTCCTCCTCCTCCTCCTCCTCCTCCTCATCCCTCCTCGTCCTCCGCCGCCGCCTCTTCTTCATCCTCCTCCTCCTCATCCCTGGAAGGAGAACTTCCCACGCGGGGAAGGGACAGTATTTTTTCCTTTCCCGGGCAACGGTCTTTATTCACGATGGGGGGGGGGCTCGGGCGGGAGGGCAACGGTGACGGCACCCGCGGCGTGCACCCGCCAGGGTGCGTCCGCGCCACCGACGCATCCGTCGCCTGTGCGCGCTACAGCATGTGGTGGGGGGTCCGGGCCTCCAGCTGGAGGCCCGGACCCCCCACCACATGGCCGGTTCAGCCCTGGATCCAGGGCTGAACCTCAACGGTGTTTACGCTTTCGTTCTGTTTTCGTTGTCTCTCGCTTTTGTCTCGGATCTGCCATTACCGCAAGACGAAGTCGAAACGAAAACGGCCCACGAAGTCACCAAAAACACCGTTTAGGTCCAGCCCTGGGCCTCCCCCCAACACGATCGTTGGCGTTACCTGGGGAAGGGGGGGGGGTGCTTGGCTGTGCAGCGAGCGTTACCCTGGGGAGGAAAAAAATGCCCATAAAGGGAGCGGAATTGGTGGCGCTGGGGAGCCTCACGGAGAAGGCCAAGGGGATCGGGCCGTGCACAGGAGACTCGAGATGGCGTATTGAACATTTTTTTGCCGCAGGCAGCAGGATCCTGGAGCCACTCTTCTCGAGGGACTGCATCACGCAAGCTACTGGCACAGAGCGCGGTGCCCATCTCTGAGAAGTATGACCTGGCTTCAAATTTCGAAACGAGCTGCCAGGATCAGTGAGCATCAAATCGGGAAATCGGACCGGATCGGAATGTGCGACACCAGGCGACACTCGCCATCCCGAAATCTGTGAATTAGAAAACTCATTGTTTCACGCGTCACGTGCCACCCCGAAAACCGCATGAAAAAAACAAAATGTTTCACTCGCACTCTGGTCGCCAACATGGGGCCGTACAATGTGAGACAACACGCAAGTGACACGTGTCACCCAACAAACCGTGTGTTCAAAACGATCGTTTCCCTCGTATTCTGGACGCCAACATGGGGCCATACAATAAGAAACAACACACGGGTGACACGTGTCACCCCGAAAACCGTGTGAGAAAAACAACGCGTTCCACTCGTATTCTGGGCACCAACATGGGGCCATACAATGTGAAACAACAAACGGGCGACACGTGTCACCCCGAAAACCGTGTGAGAAAGACTAAATGTTTCTCTCGCAGTCTGGTCGCCAACATGGGGCCCTGCAGTTTGAAACATCACGCGGTTGACACGTGTCACCCCGAAAACCGTGTGAGAAAAAACGCTTGTGTCCGTCGTATCCTGGTCGCCAACACGGGGCCATACAATGTGAAACAACACGCGGGTGACACGTGTCACCTCGAACACTGTGCGAAAGAAAAACAATTGTATCACTTGTATTCTGGTCGCCAACATGGAGCCATACAATGTGAAACAGCACGCGGGTAATACGTGTCACCCCGAAAACCGTGTGAGAAAAAACAATTGTTCCACTCGTATTCTGGACGCCAAAATGGATCCATACAATGTGAGACAACACGCGGGTGACACGTCACACCGAAAACCGTGTGCGAAACCGCATGTCTCACTCGTATTCTGGTCGCCAAAATGGGGGCATAAAATGTGAAACAACACACGGGTGACACGTGACACCCCGAAAACCGTGTGAGAAAAACACATATGTCTCACTCGCATTATGGTCGCCAACATGGGGCCATACAATGCGAAACATCACGCGGGTGACACGTGTCACCCGGAAAACCGTGAACAAAAACACTTGTGCCACTCGTATCCTGGTCGCCCACATGGGGCCATACAGTGTGAAACAACACGCGGGTGACACGCGTCACCCCGAAAACCGTGAGAGAAAAACCAATTGTGCCACTGTTATTTTGGACCCCAACATGGGGCCACACAATGTGAAACAACGCACGGGTGACACGCGTCACTCCGCAAACCGCGTGAGAAAAAACAAAACATTGTTTCATGCGTGTCTTGGTCACCAACATGGGACCATACAATGTGAAACAACACGCGGGTAACACGTGCCACCCTGAAAACCGTGTGAGAAAAAAACTAAGTGTTCCACTCGTATTCTGGACGCCAAAATGAGGCCATGCAGTGTGAAACACCACGCGGGTGACACGTCCTACCTCGAAAACCGCGCGAGGAAAAGCAATTGTCCCACTCGTTTTCTGGACGCCAACACGACGCCGTACGCAGTGAAACAACACACGGGTGACACGTGTCACCCCGAAACCCGTGTGAGAAAAAACAAGTGTTCCACTCGTGTTGTGGTCGCCACGCCCGGTCGTAGCAACGACGACGACAACGACCGCTGCGCTCCGGATGCGCCATGGGGGGAGGGCGGGCGCTGCGTGGGCCCGCCGCAGCAACGACGCGACGACGACGACGATTGGAAGATGAGGAAGAGGAGGACGAGGAGGAAGAGGAGAAGGAGGAGGAGGAGGTGGAGGAGAAGGAGGAGGAGGGAGGAGGAGGGAGGAGGAGGAGGAGGAGGAGGAGGAGGAGGAGGAGGAGGAGGAGGAGGGAGGAGGAGGGAGGAGGAGGAGGAGGAGGAGGAGGAGGAGCGTCGACGAGCGCCGCGCGGCGGATGCACCATAGTAGGGGGGGTGCGGCGTGTGCCTGCCGTAGCAACGAAACGCGACGACGCTGACGACGACGAAGCGCACAAAGCGCAGCGCGTGCGCGCCCGCGTCAGCTGCCAGGGCGCCAGGGCCACAGCTGGCCATCGCTCGGACGTCCATTCCCTGTGTTTTTGTTCGGTTCCGTGCGTGGTTTTTTCGCCAAATGATCAAGGATGCTCCTCGATGGTCCTCGCCGAAGGAAAAATGCACACGTCCGAGCGATGCCAGGACAGGACTCAGATCCGCCGCTGTGCCTGCGCGGCAGAGGCGTGTTAGAATGCCTGCGAGCTGCCTTGTAGTGTTTCTGTGAAGCTCCTGAAGGCCACTCCCTTCCTCACGCTGAACTGCATGCGCTGCGCCCTCTTCCCGAAACCCCGTCGGCGCCGAAACGTGCCCCTGGCGCCCTCCGAGGAGTCCAAGATGGCGGCCAACATGGCCCAAGCAGGCCAAAAAGGCCGCCAAGATGGCCAAATACTGATTCAGAACGGCTCAAGATGCAAGACGACCTAAGATGGCCTCGAAACGGCCCAAGCTGCTTCCCAAACGGCCCGAAACGGTTCCAAGAGAGCGTCCAGGAAGGAAACCTCCAGGATGGAGGGTTGGATGAATCCTCCAGAAACCAACAGAATCAGTCAGGACCCCTGGGATTCCTGGGGGGTCCTGGGCAACGAAGGGGGGCCTCCGATTTGGGGGTATGCCGCAATTTGAAACTATCATTCTTCAGGGCGCCTGCGGCGGAGTTTGGAGGGATAGAGGGTTAGAATTCAATTAGAACGAGATTCCTCCGAATATCTGCGAAACCAATTCAAACAAACCCGGTCCATGCACGCGAGCGCCAACTACTGGTCTGCTGGCCCCAATTTCTGCAATTTTCGGCCCAGTACGGCCCAAGTCAGCTCCAAAAGCGCCTAAGGGGGACCCAAGACAGCCCCAAAAGCGCTCAAGATACCTCCAAGAAAGCGTCGGGGAGCACCAAGAGGGCTTGAAGACGGCCCAGGAGCACTCCAAGAGGGCCCAATTTGGCTTCAAGACAGCCCAAGAGGCCCTCAAGACGCCCCAAGAGGCCTCCCAAGGCATTCCCGTGGGAAAACGTACATTCGCTTCTTTGGTCTTCACAGCGTCCAAAAACAACCCAGGAGGCCCCAAAGACCGCCCCAAAACGGCTCCAGAGGGCCCCCAAGACGGCCCAAGTGGGCGCCAAAACGGCCCAAGAGAGCCCCAAGACGGCCCAAGAGAGGCCCCTGAGGGTCCCGAAAGGTTCCCAAGAGAGCCCTAAGAGGGCCACAGGAGGTCCCCAAGGGGACCCAAGATGGCCCCCAGAGGGCCCAAGACGGCCCAAGCCCGTCAAGACCGCCCAAGAGGGTCCCGGGACGGCCCAAAAGAGCTCCAAGACAGCCCAAACGAGCCTCCGAAGGACCCCCGGGAAGGCCCAGCGATGCAATATCTATGGATTTTCGCAGCAAGGTTGGTTGCTAGATCTTTGTATGTCGTACTGAAGCCTTAACACCAGCAGGGCTCCAAGACACTAAGCCAGCGACCTCGCGCCCTCACAAAATAAACGCACTTTCCGTTCCCATGCCAAGCAGGCCTACTGACCGGGTCAACCCAAACCCGGGTCAGTTAGGCCTTGTAGGATCCGGCAAAATCCTGCAGGATCCTTCACGATCCTGCACCCAAGCCCCAGGTCAGTGCAACCCCGGCCCTGCAGGATCCTGCAAGATCCGGCGCTCTGACTGACCCCCGTTTGCATTGACCCCCGTCGCTTGAGCCAGAAACCAACATAATCAGTCAGAATTGACTGATTGGGCGAGCGAACGCGAACTGACATTTCGAGAGCCCCACTCCAAGACGACCCCTGAGGCCAGCAGGCCCGCCAGAAGCCCCCCAGAAGCTCCTGGGTGGACCCAAAGGAAAGATCAAACCCCAAGAGGCCCCCGAGAGGTCCCGAAGACGCCCCATAACCGTCTCCAAAAGGCTCCCGAAGGGCCCACAGGCATCCACGAGGCCTGTGACCCACAACCTGGGCACAGTGGCTGAATAAGCCGAAGACCACTACATCCGCCGCCCCCATCTGGCCTGCCACCAGGGCGCACGGCGTGCCGAATGCTCGCTGGGGGTATGCCGCAATTTGAATCTATCATTCTTCAGGGCGCCTGCGGCGGAGTTTGGAGGGATGGAGGGTCAGAATTTAATTAGAACGAAACTCCTCCGAATATCTGCGAAACCAATTCAAACAAACCCGGTCCATGCACGCGAGCGCCAACTACTGGTCTACTGGCCCCAATTTCTGCAATTTTCGGCCCAAGACGGCCCAAGTCAGCTCCAAAAGCGCCTAAGAGGGGACCAAGACAGCCCCAAAAGCGCTCAAGATACCTCCAAGAAAGCGTCGGGGAGGACCAAGAGGGCTTGAAGACGGCCCAGGAGCACTCCAAGAGGGCCCAATCTGGCTTCAAGACAGCCCAAAAGGCCCTCAAGACGCCCCAAGAGGCCTCCCAAGGCATTCCCGTGGGAAAACGTACATGTTTAGCCTATTCGCTTCTTTGGTCTTCACAGCGTCCAAAAACAACCCAGGAGGCCCCAAAGACCGCCCCAAAACGGCTCCAGAGGGCCCCCAAGACGGCCCAAGTGGGCGCCAAAACGGCCCAAGAGAGCCCCAAGACGGCCCAAGAGAGGCCCCTGAGGGTCCCGAAAGGTTCCCAAGAGAGCCCTAAGAGGGCCACAGGAGGTCCCCAAGGGGACCCAAGATGGCCCCCAGAGGGCCCAAGACGGCCCAAGCCCGTCAAGACCGCCCAAGAGGGTCCCGGGACGGCCCAAAAGAGCTCCAAGACAGCCCAAACGAGCCCCCAAAGGACCCCCGGGAAGGCCCAGCGATGCAATATCTATGGATTTTCGCAGCAAGGTTGGTTGCTAGATCTTTGTATGTCGTACTGAAGCCTTAACACCAGCAGGGCTCCAAGACACTAAGCCAGCGACCTCGCGCCCTCACAAAATAAACGCACTTTCCGTTCCCATGCCAAGCAGGCCTACTGACCGGGTCAACCCAAACCCGGGTCAGTTAGGCCTTGTAGGATCCGGCAAAATCCTGCAGGATCCTTCACGATCCTGCACCCAAGCCCCAGGTCAGTGCAACCCCGGCCCTGCAGGATCCTGCAAGATCCGGCGCTCTGACTGACCCCCGTTTGCATTGACCCCCGTCGCTTGAGCCAGAAACCAACATAATCAGTCAGAATTGACTGATTGGGCGAGCGAACGCGAACTGACATTTCGAGAGCCCCACTCCAAGACGACCCCTGAGGCCAGCAGGCCCGCCAGAAGCCCCCCAGAAGCTCCTGGGTGGACCCAAAGGAAAGATCAAACCCCAAGAGGCCCCCGAGAGGTCCCGAAGACGCCCCATAACCGTCTCCAAAAGGCTCCCGAAGGGCCCACAGGCATCCACGAGGCCTGTGACCCACAACCTGGGCACAGTGGCTGAATAAGCCGAAGACCACTACATCCGCCGCCCCCATCTGGCCTGCCACCAGGGCGCACGGCGTGCCGAATGCTCGCTGGGGGTATGCCGCAATTTGAATCTATCATTCTTCAGGGCGCCTGCGGCGGAGTTTGGAGGGATGGAGGGTCAGAATTTAATTAGAACGAAACTCCTCCGAATATCTGCGAAACCAATTCAAACAAACCCGGTCCATGCACGCGAGCGCCAACTACTGGTCTACTGGCCCCAATTTCTGCAATTTTCGGCCCAAGACGGCCCAAGTCAGCTCCAAAAGCGCCTAAGAGGGGACCAAGACAGCCCCAAAAGCGCTCAAGATACCTCCAAGAAAGCGTCGGGGAGGACCAAGAGGGCTTGAAGACGGCCCAGGAGCACTCCAAGAGGGCCCAATCTGGCTTCAAGACAGCCCAAAAGGCCCTCAAGACGCCCCAAGAGGCCTCCCAAGGCATTCCCGTGGGAAAACGTACATGTTTAGCCTATTCGCTTCTTTGGTCTTCACAGCGTCCAAAAACAACCCAGGAGGCCCCAAAGACCGCCCCAAAACGGCTCCAGAGGGCCCCCAAGACGGCCCAAGTGGGCGCCAAAACGGCCCAAGAGAGCCCCAAGACGGCCCAAGAGAGGCCCCTGAGGGTCCCGAAAGGTTCCCAAGAGAGCCCTAAGAGGGCCACAGGAGGTCCCCAAGGGGACCCAAGATGGCCCCCAGAGGGCCCAAGACGGCCCAAGCCCGTCAAGACCGCCCAAGAGGGTCCCGGGACGGCCCAAAAGAGCTCCAAGACAGCCCAAACGAGCCTCCAAAGGACCCCCGGGAAGGCCCAGCGATGCAATATCTATGGATTTTCGCAGCAAGGTTGGTTGCTAAATCTTTGTATGTCGTACTGAAGCCTTAACACCAGCAGGGCTCCAAGACACTAAGCCAGCGACCTCGCGCCCTCACAAAATAAACGCACTTTCCGTTCCCATGCCAAGCAGGCCTACTGACCGGGTCAACCCAAACCCGGGTCAGTTAGGCCTTGTAGGATCCGGCAAAATCCTGCAGGATCCTTCACGATCCTGCACCCAAGCCCCAGGTCAGTGCAACCCCGGCCCTGCAGGATCCTGCAAGATCCGGCGCTCTGACTGACCCCCGTTTGCATTGACCCCCGTCGCTTGAGCCAGAAACCAACATAATCAGTCAGAATTGACTGATTGGGCGAGCGAACGCGAACTGACATTTCGAGAGCCCCACTCCAAGACGACCCCTGAGGCCAGCAGGCCCGCCAGAAGCCCCCCAGAAGCTCCTGGGTGGACCCAAAGGAAAGATCAAACCCCAAGAGGCCCCCGAGAGGTCCCGAAGACGCCCCATAACCGTCTCCAAAAGGCTCCCGAAGGGCCCACAGGCATCCACGAGGCCTGTGACCCACAACCTGGGCACAGTGGCTGAATAAGCCGAAGACCACTACATCCGCCGCCCCCATCTGGCCTGCCACCAGGGCGCACGGCGTGCCGAATGCTCGCTGGGGGTATGCCGCAATTTGAATCTATCATTCTTCAGGGCGCCTGCGGCGGAGTTTGGAGGGATGGAGGGTCAGAATTTAATTAGAACGAAACTCCTCCGAATATCTGCGAAACCAATTCAAACAAACCCGGTCCATGCACGCGAGCGCCAACTACTGGTCTACTGGCCCCAATTTCTGCAATTTTCGGCCCAAGACGGCCCAAGTCAGCTCCAAAAGCGCCTAAGAGGGGACCAAGACAGCCCCAAAAGCGCTCAAGATACCTCCAAGAAAGCGTCGGGGAGGACCAAGAGGGCTTGAAGACGGCCCAGGAGCACTCCAAGAGGGCCCAATCTGGCTTCAAGACAGCCCAAAAGGCCCTCAAGACGCCCCAAGAGGCCTCCCAAGGCATTCCCGTGGGAAAACGTACATGTTTAGCCTATTCGCTTCTTTGGTCTTCACAGCGTCCAAAAACAACCCAGGAGGCCCCAAAGACCGCCCCAAAACGGCTCCAGAGGGCCCCCAAGACGGCCCAAGTGGGCGCCAAAACGGCCCAAGAGAGCCCCAAGACGGCCCAAGAGAGGCCCCTGAGGGTCCCGAAAGGTTCCCAAGAGAGCCCTAAGAGGGCCACAGGAGGTCCCCAAGGGGACCCAAGATGGCCCCCAGAGGGCCCAAGACGGGCCCAAGCCCGTCAAGACCGCCCAAGAGGGTCCCGGGACGGCCCAAAAGAGCTCCAAGACAGCCCAAACGAGCCCCCAAAGGACCCCGGGAAGGCCCAGCGATGCAATATCTATGGATTTTCGCAGCAAGGTTGGTTGCTAGATCTTTGTATGTCGTACTGAAGCCTTAACACCAGCAGGGCTCCAAGACACTAAGCCAGCGACCTCGCGCCCTCACAAAATAAACGCACTTTCCGTTCCCATGCCAAGCAGGCCTACTGACCAGGTCAACCCAAACCCAGGTCAGTCAGGCCTTGTAGGATCCGGCAAAATCCTGCAGGATCCTTCACGATCCTGCACCCAAGCCCCAGGTCAGTGCAACCCCGGCCCTGCAGGATCCTGCAAGATCCGGCGCTCTGACTGACCCCCGTTTGCATTGACCCCCGTCGCTTGAGCCAGAAACCAACAGAATCAGTCAGAATTGACTGATTGGGCGAGCGAACGCGAACCGACATTTCGAGAGCCCCACTCCAAGACGACCCCTGAGGCCAGCAGGCCCGCAAGAAGCCCCCCAGAAGCTCCTGGGTGGACCCAAAGGAAAGATCAAACCCCAAGAGGCCCCCGAGAGGTCCCGAAGACGCCCCATAACCGAGGTTTGCATGGACCCCGTCGCTTGAGCCCTGAGGCGCGGTGCCTTCGCCGACTCCGGTTGGCTTCCCGCCCCGCCCCCTCGGGACACGCAGCAGCACGTCGCGTAGACGGCCCCGCCCACGCAGGAGCGGCGGACGTCCAGCACGACCAGCGCCAGCATGCCCTGGGCGGCAGGACCGAGGGCGCTCGGCGGACAACAGGCCGGCGCTGGGGTTGGCAAGCTGCTCCGGGCTGCGCACAAACGAGACAGCCCCCCCCTCGCCATCGCTCGGACGTCCATTCCCTGTGTTTTTTTCTGTTTCGTGTGTGTGTGTGTGTGTTTTTTTCCGCCAAATGATCAAGGATGCTCCTCGATGGTCCTCGCCGAAGGAAAAATGCACACGTCCAAACGATGCCAAGCCCCGGGTACGTGGTCCCAGCCTGGCCTCGGCGGGCCCCCCGAGCAGCCCCCGAGCAGCCCCCGCAGGCCCCAACACCAGAGGCGACGAGTGGGGCGAATGGTCCAGGGGAGAGCAGTGCATGTATTCAGGTGCGCCGATGACCTGTGTCTTCGAAGAGGCTCCCGGGCGAATACGTGTATAGGGGGCCACATGCGAGCCCTACCCCTACCCCCCACGATTTCTGAGGGGGAGGGTGGGGTTCACTTCGCTTGGGAGCTCCCGAACGAAGTGAACCCGACCCTCCCCCTCAGAAATCGTGGGGGGTGGGGGTAGGGCTCGCATGCGGCCCCCTGTTGTGATGCCCGCCCCTGGGCTAGTCGCCCGCCTCGTCGCCGCCGACAGCAGGCCCCCCGAGGGGTCCAGGGCGGCCTCCTCCTCCTCCTCGGCCTCCTCCTCCTCGCGCCCCCGTCGTCGCCGCCGTCGGCAGGCCCCCCGAGCAGCCCCGAGCGGCCTCGGCATCCCGGCGCGGCCTCCTGCGGCGCTCCGCGGGGCGCTCCGCGCCCCGGGGCCGAGGTGCCGAGGCCGCCCTGGGGCCGTTCGGGGACCCGTGGAGGCAAGCTGTTCGCGCTTCGCGCTTCGCGCTGCGCGAAGCGCGACAGCTTCGCGCTCTCGAGGGCGCCTCCCAGGGAAGAAGAGGAGGACGAGGAGGAATCGGAGCCGAGGCGCGAAGCGCGAAGCGCGAATAGCTTCGCGCCCTCGAGGGCGCACTTGGTTGAGGCAAGCTGGGGCTGCTCAGGGAGCCTGGAGGCCAGCTTGGGATATACAGCCGGGGCGTTGGCCCAAGGAACCCCAAATTAGAGGAAAGAGAACTATGCACATGCACCGATTCTGGCCAGGCCCACCCTGAGCCCAGGATCGGTGCATACGCCCTCCCACCTTGGCCAGGCAGGCATATGCACCGATCCCGGGTCAAGGATGGGCCTTGCCAGGATCGGTGCATGTGCATAGTTCTCTTCGCCCGAGTTGAGGCAAGCTGGGACTGCTCGGGGAGCCTGGAGGCCAGCTTGGGATCTGCAGTCGGGGCGTTGGCCCAAGGAACCCCAGATGAAGAACGGGGCCCGTCTCCCATTTGTTGAACTTCGATTTCCCATGGGAAACCTCAGGGAAACCCACGTATCACTGTAAAACAACTAAGGAACACGGAGCCCCTCCCAAACGAAAAAGGTTCCTTCTTCAGGGCCCCGACTGTACGTACCTTGGGGGCGCTGCCTGTGCGCAATCCGACACCTCACCACAGACAAGCGCGTTCCGCTACTCGCACAGCAACTAACTGCTCGCAAATGGCCTGCATCCGCCGATGGGGATCTACGATCCACTTCATCGAAGCAGACATGTGTTTTTCGGACGCTTGCGAGTAGGCACTTTGCGAGTAATGGAACGCGGTCGGTGATACCAGCTGACAGAAGTTAGCGCTGGGGGTGCAACTTTCAGACGCCTGCGAGCAGGACGCCAACTTTACACTCGCACGGGTCCCGGGCCCGGGATGGGCTCGGCGGCGCAAGTGTTGAGTCGAGCCATACGAGCCAGGAGAAATACTGTGGGGCGAGGAGTGATTTCGCCTGTCAGGGGTTTCTGACACCGCATGGATCGTTCAACCTTCAAAGATCGCAACCTTCCAGTACTGTAAATCGTTCGATGTCGCCCGATTCCGCACCACCGACGGCGTTCAATATTCAACGTCCGCGCTGTGATCGACGCCGTATCAACATGGTGCGAACCTCCCGCAGCGCTGGGGTCGCAACCCATACTCGCTTGTGAGGAGATATGGGGCGGGGTGTAAATTCGACCGATGGACGGTCGGCTCAAACCCCAGGAGCTCTGCGGATGTTGCTGGCAAACATAGGAATTCATATAATCTGAAGAGATAGGTCTGGGGAGCAAGCCCCAAGCCTGGCTGGAGACAAAAGTCGGCCTTACCCGACGGTTCCAGGAGACATGAATAGCAGCACAAGCATGTAGAAGGCTGACGAAACAGCGATGACAAAACTAAAAGGGCTCTGACAAGGTGGCGTGGGTTGAAAACTCATAGGCGCGCGCTCAGGGTAGACGTAGCAACCCGCAATCGCGGATAAAAGTGAGGGGGCGGGCGCGGAGTGGGTCGCGGAAGGGTCGCGGGTGGGTCGCGGGGTGGGTCGTGGGGTCGTGGGGGGGGGCGTCGACAACAAACAACAACAACAACAACAACAACAACAACAACAACAACAACAACAACAACAACAACAACAACAACAACAACAACAACAACAACAATCATGTTCAAACTGTTCGTTCTTGTCTGCTCGCGTGTCAATCAACATGTATATCCAAAACCCTCGATATCCGCCCCTTCGCCTTCGATCGTATCCCCCTCTGGGGGTACATCTTCCTTACATGCCACGCGTAGCTGGCGCAGCCCCCTTGGAGCAGGGGAAGGGAGGGAGGAGGCAAGGAACAGAAGGGAGGGAAAAGGATGGAACACTGGATTTTACGCCCCCGCACTCTTGACCTCTTGCTGCCTTGCTCGCGCGCTGCACGGCACGCGCGTGGGACACCGCAGCCTTCTGTCCCAGAAGAGGGCCTAGAGTCCGAAACGCGTCGCCAGCTAAAAAAAGTTGAGATCGGCAGTACACCAAGGACCGGGAGCAAGAAAATCGGCGGCATAACCGGAAGGGCGGGTCGGGCGGGCGGACACTACCGGGCGGGTAGGGCGGGCGAGCCCAGACGGCTGGGTCGAGCGGGCGGTCGCTGAAGAGCAGGATGGTCGCTGAATCGTCGGTCCTGCACGGATCGCGGGGAAGGCTCGAGCGGAAACGGGGTTCCCGAGCAAATCCTTAGGACTCTCCACGCGAAGAGCGTGATTCCTGGGTGGCGAAGACGCGGCGTCTCACTAAGCTGCCACTAAGTAGCTGGAGCGCGATCCCTGGATGAATTTGAGGCCATCCGCGCGCGAGTGTGGTATTGACAAACATATGGGAATTATCCGGCGGGAGCCGCTGTTGTGGTAAACCGCCGTTGCTGCTGGGAGCGGCGCCAATGCTGAACAAAGTAGGGCGCTAATCCACGTAAAACAAAACGACGTTTCGAGCGGGAACGCTGGTTTCGTTGGGGCGGCGGTTGTCGGCGGCGAGGAGGAACGCCGCCTTGAGTAAGAAGGGGGGACGTCTGGAGCGGGAGCCGTGGTTTTGTCGGGGCGGGGGCTGTCGGCGGCGAGGAACTGCACCGTCCTGAGGACAAAAAAAAAAAACCTCAAGCGGGAGCGTCGTTCTTGCTGGGAGCGGCGCCAATTCGAACTATCCAGGCGAAGGACCCAACCATATGCAGTTGTGAGTACCGCAATTGTGAGTATCTTCTTCGGTGGCGCTCCCCATAGGGCCCAGAACCGTATGAGGGGGACAACGCAAAGGAATACGATGGGTCTGATTACGAGAGAATGAACGCAGGTGAGTCAGAGCGCGAGTGAGTCTGAGTGTGAATGGGTCTGCGCGCGAGTGATGTGATTTGCACGAATGCGATCATGGCTACGCCTAGTGTAAATGTATACGAACGTGAATTGCTCGAGCATGCCTGTCCGAACACTCGTGACACCGGGCTTGGCCGCCGCGGGCAGCTTCCGCGGGAACCCCGACGGCAGCGCCCGCGCGCCGCGACGCCCATGTCGGCACGGCCCTTGCGAGGATCGCGCCCGCTTTCGCCCCTTCTTTTCCTCCCTCTTTGCGCGCGCGCTCCAAAAATCCAAGGCTGCGGGCGCAGCGCAGCGCGGAGTCCCCGCGACGCGCGCCGGTCGCCCCTGGCGGGGCCCCAGCGACGCGCGCGGGTCGCCCGCTGCGCGGAGCAAAGAAAGCTGGCTAGCTAACTGACTGGCTGATAGCGGGCAAGGCTCTGACCGCTGGGCAGAGCGACGACGGGCGAACGAGGCGCCGGGCAAAACGCGGCACGGAGTTCCCGCGACGCGCGCCGGTCGCCCCGAGAGGGTCCCAGCGACGCGCGCGGGTCGTCCGCGGCGCGAGGCCAAACAGTTAGTCGGGCAGTCGAGAGAAGGCGCGGCTCGGGGCGGACGCTCCTCATGTCAGGCCTCGCGGATAAACTCGGTGAAGCCGAGCTCCCTGGCGAGGGACGTCGCCTCCCTCCTGCACCGCTTCGTGCGCGCCGCAAGCTGCCCCAGCTGCTTCCGCAAGCCCTCCGGCGGCCCTGCCGGGAAGAACTCGACGCGCGGCGCCCGCATGGGCAGGAGGTCCTCGTGGCGCGTGGCGCGCGAGAGCAACACACATAGTCTCCAGCCACCAGTCGTCGTCCTCCTTCTTGCCGTTCCCGACTTCGTGGCGGCCGCAGTCCAGGATCACGCCTGGGCGACGTCGGCCGAGGGAGCAGCGCGCCGGGCAGCCGACGGCCCAGGGCGAGTCCGCAGGACCGAGGTCTGGCCGCGGACTGCTCGCGCCCCGGAGGTCTGGCCGTCCCCGGAGCGCCGTTCCCCCGCCCCGTCGCCTTCTCGCATGGTGCGCCCCTGGCACGCCACCGTGGTGATCACCCTGCCGTGCGAGAGCGGGAAGCCCGTCCGCGTGACCTTGGAGGTGCGGAAAGTGAACGGCTCCGACGTGCGGGGCTCGATGAACACCAGCGGGCCCGCGAGGTCCCCCGTGAGGCTGTCGTCGCGGCGCTTCAGGTCGTCCACGAAGGGCGCGCTCGCGTACTTCTCCATGCGCACCCAGAACCCCAGCGGCAAGCGCTTCAGGTAGATCCTCTTCTC